TGATGTTTTGAAAGAGCCTGGCAGTCTGCTCTTGTCATTTAGGGGCCTTTGCATGTATTTTTTAAGGTGTCTCCAAGCCCTGTCTTCATTTCACAGTTGTCACCTTTCTCAGCAATTTGAGCTCATGTCAAATACCAAAAAAGAAAGAGAAGAAGAAAGAATGTGTTGGCAATTAATTGTGGGCTAAAGAGAAGGCAGGCATAGGGGCCCATTGGGTGGCCCAGACTTCCAGGGAGGGAGATGTGGACAGTCTGAATACAAAGAAGAACTGACTCAAAGTTGAGACAAGACTGTCAAACCTCTAACAAGAGGTCAATTCTTTCTCCATTGGATACAGCTCTTGAGCATTCACATGATTCAGAATTCATAAACATATCCTTAATTACCACAAGCATCTTGCTTCTATTCATTACAGCTGGAGTTCCATCTGAATCCTGTTCAAATCTGAGCAAGGCTGCTGAATAAGAAGGACTCTCCTCAGGAGTAAACCAAATCTTTGGATCCTTAACCTCTTCTGATGGTCGACATTCCTGAGATAAATTCTGAAGCTGAGGCAAAAAAATTCAGTTTCTATATGTCAAAGTGGGGGATATGCCAACTTTCATTAAAAATTCAAAACCCCATTGTCTCCTCATATTTTTCAAACAATTGATCTCCTCTTAATTTTCAAAATTTATTGGAGCCTGGCCTGAAGAAGAGTCTACCTGAATTTCTCCCTGTTCTATGGCTATGAGGTAGGACCAAAAACTAATCCAATGCCAGGGTCAGGCCAGAGTTAAGGTTAACTTATCACACAGTTAATTCTTTTCTATGTCAAACACTCAAATGTAATTTTTTTAAATACTTGTACGCTTCCCCAATAACCTCATCATCAACTTGATTTCAGCAGCCCAAGCACAATTCCTTCACTTAAGAGTGAAGGTGCTGAAAACAGAAAATTGAAAGTATGGAGTATTGAAATATTCTCAGAGATTTCATTCCAACATGAAGTTATATGAAAGGCAGCTCATCCTGCAGAATGTGAGGACTTTGGGTTTGTTCATGTTTCCACCGTGAAAGCTAGGAAATTCATCCCATACCATTCAAGTTTTACAAGACTGGAAAGGATATAAGCAGCTTTTATATTCTCACAGTCTTGGAGGAAGAGGTGTCTTCCGTTCTTCCAGTTTGCATTTGCAGACTGACTGCACTAGACGACTTCCTGTTTCCACAGGTTTATTGTTTTATTTTACTTTGAGCATGTAAACTGAACTCTACTTTTTTTAACTCACCGAAACCATTAAAAATAAGTCCTTTTCAAAACAGCTGAAGACAATAAATACATCCATATTCAAAACTTTCAATGAAATGGAGAACAAGTAAGCGACTCTCCTTCTTAGGTAAGGCAGAAAAGTGAAGGAGAAAGCCTAAGCGACTTTAAGTTGCTAATTGTTTTCTGAAAAATCACTGTTTAGGCCTTAAATGTAACTAGTCAGAAACGTCTTCTCCGTTCAGAGCTAGGAAAGGAAACTTTATGCTTTCTGGGCCAAAAAAATGCTCTTAAGGCACAATCATTTTAAAACAAACAAACACACTGCTTATCTGTGTCTATCTCACCACTCTGGACGTTAATCATCACTGAAATAGATACTCCAGCGCTCCAGCCTCAAAGAGCTTCAAGCCTACAGGACCTCGGCAGAGGAATGAACGTGCATGCCAGGGCAAACACTTCAGGAGCCTTACTCCCTAACACCTATTGTTAATTCTAGGCAAATCTATCACAAGCTAATGCAAGGGAGCGCCCAGGTACTGTCCAAAAGATAGTTAAAATTAAATTCACGTTCAAAAACATGCAGGACTTAATTTGGGAGGAAGAGAGTCAAGTAAACTTTAACATAAGATTGGCAAAAGTCTATCAAAAAAAAAAAAAATCCCACAGGTTTACATACACAGATACACTTTTTTTCTTTCTGTTCTTTGCTCTTGTTCATTTTCAGTATCAGAATTTGCAGATAGCACCTCTGCTCTTCTACCTGTCATACTGTCTGTCAACTTCTTACGTTATAAACTGACGGAGTTCAATTTCACTGTTTTGTTCCTATAGACGGAACTAGGTTAGTTTCCCCCTACTCTTTAGAGAAAACTTAAAAGACTGCTGCATGAAACATTTCCTTCATTTTTATTATTATATTCAAGATATTTCTACTCTCCCAGGTTTCATAAAACCTTCAAACAAAACTGATTTTAAACCAAATGACAGACTCAAACTATCTTCATGCTGTCCTAAAAAAAAAAGTTCATGATACCAGGGTCCACTGTTTGGGCAAGAGGCCTAAAGGGAAGCAAATTATTTGTTTGTGGTTTTAAAGTGGCCAGAATGCCTTCAAGCACAAGTATAAGACCATTAACAAATCACAAGGAACCAAAGCAGTTCATCTTACTCAACAAAGCCATGATCAGTTAGGAACAGACAAACTGAATGGGGCCTGCCCTGGGCCGGAAGGTCAGTAAACCTTAGTAGTTTGTGTTTCTGAGAATCAAGAGGCTCTTCAGCAGGGAGCACAGATCCTAAACCCGCAGGTTCTGCTGTCAGGTTTCCAAAAAACATTCAGGACAGGTGAGAGAAACTACGATGTGTGTGTGTGTGTGTGCGTGTGTGTGCATGTGCGTGTGTGCGCGTGTGCATGCACGCCCCCCCAAACTCCCAAGGAATCACTATTATCAACAACAAAACCATACTAGAATGAATACAAAAAGTTAAGCAAAATGATCAGGTTCAATATTTACAAAAGACCTCTACATCATCAGTACTCGGCTGGAAAACATACTGAAAAAGAAACTGCTTTCACAATAAAAACAAAACACATAAAGTATTCAGGAATAAGTGTAACAACAGATATGTGGGAACTTTATAGTGAAAACCACAAAACTTATGAACACAGAATTTTTTTTTTTTTGGCTGAGGAAGTGAGTGGGAGTAGAGACATGACATACACACACAAATCCAATAAGTATAATCTATCCCTGACAGATGTTAAACTCTATCAAAAAGTAACAATATTTAAAATAGTATGGAAACGGAAAAATATATGAATGGACAAAATGGAGAGTCAGATATAGATAAGATATATATTACATATATTTGTGTATATGTATGTGATATATATCAAACTAAGCATTTCAAAACAAAGGGACAGAGAATTATTATTTAACAAAAGGAGTAGCAATAACTGGGTAACAATTTAGAAAAATAATAATTCATCCACTACACCAAAACAAAAGTGTTAAATATTTAAAAAATCAGATCATAAAAAAGCCAGTGGGAAACTGAAGAGAAGATTTTCAGGTCTGTGGAAGAATCATACATTTCTTAGCTCTGGGAAAAAAAAGAAAAAAATTACAAAAGACTGGCAGGTTCTAATATATTAAGGTAAAACTTCTATAGAATAAAAACAATAAAGTAAAAAGAACTGTCTAGGAAAAAAATTTGCATCAAGGATGACAGACTAGAGCCCAATATCTATGATCTACAAGGATTTCAAATTTATAAGAAAAACATCAAGACCCAAATAATAAATGGGCAAAGACTAGTAACAGATAATCTCACAGGTGAAAGAAACACATGGGAAAATATTTATCCTGGCCAGTGATAAAAGAAATGCAAAATACCACAACTTTGAGAAATCATTATATGCCCATTAATAGCAAAGATTTTAAAATTCTCACATGAATTCGTTCTGTCATTCTTTCCTGGTGCCACTTTAACTTGGTACAACCCCTTTGGAAAGCATAACCTTTGATCCAATAATGACAATCTTGGGGATTTATCCTAAGGAATTAATTCAAAAAGACATACGTATTGTGTGGTACGTGAATGATATCTTAATAAATCTATTACCAAAAACTGTGTTAAAATTATTCATTTCATTGTTATCTATAATAGCAAAAGCTGGACACAACATAAAAGTTCAGTATTGGAGAAATTTTTTTAATCTCATTATGGTACAGCTCACAAACATTTATAATGCACTTATTCTGTTAGGATCAGTAAGATAACAACTATGAGGGGGGGAGGTGTGCAACCGAAAAGTAATTTTAAAAAGTGAAAACAGTTGTCTAGAGGTGATGGTATTACGGCGTATCTTAAAAAAAGAAACAAAACTTTAATGTTGTTATACCGTATTAGAACTACCTTTTTTTAAACCACAATTGGACGGAGTCGGGCTCATTCTGAAAGCTTTGCTTCCATACCCACACAATTTTTTCCCGGTCCTACTGAACAGTTTAAGCGGGTTCAGGTAAGTTTTTCATTCACAGGTCTCAGACCCTACCAAAAACAGGTCAACTTGCAATACCATCCCTTTGTAGGCAGCCTAGACCCAATACAGCCTCCTGCCTCAAGTAGGCACCCTTTTTTGTGTAGTTCTGCCTATATCAAGTCATAAATTATTGGTGGTGACACTTGGACCTTGGACCAAGGGCCTTCCCCCACCACCACCACCCCCATCTGAGCCTTCTCGCTACTTCAGACATCACTTTTTTTTTTCCATATTCGATTTTTTCTGAGCCCTAAAGTCTAACAACCTTTGGGAGCAGGAGGGGAAGATGAATGTCCACAGAAACATTCTGATAGACCACGTAGTGGACATGGGTCCTAGACCTGGATTGGAAGAGGCGTCCAGCGTGGTTCCTCTGGGGCTGAGGAACCAAGCCAGTCAACGTCTGCGAAAAGACACAATAACAAAGCTGAAGTGTTTAACATGGCTAATTTTGAGGAGCCGCCCGCAGGAGAGGGTGCTGACTGCGGGATGCTCTTGGGAGGCTTCCTCGGATGGGGACCTCGGACAGGAGAGGTACTGGGATCCCCGAGGGTGCTCGGGGAGGGGTCTCGGCGGAGGCCAAGCTGGGCCTCGCAATTCGGGTGCGACACGGCCCCAGGCCGACCAGGCCGCGGCGCCCCGCCCTTTCCCGGGACGCGGGCCGGCCCGGGGCGGGGAGCGGGCGGGCGAGCGGGCGCTTACAGGTCGGTGCCGAGCCGCGTGAAGCCGGAGTTGAGCGAGGCCCGAGCAATCCGGCGCCAGAGCAGGTCGCAGCTGGTGAAGCGCCGCAGCCAGCGGCACACCTGGGCCAGGCGGCCGAGGGCCCGCATGTCCAGGTAGGAGCAGACGAGCAGCAGCAGCTCCTCCGGCAGACGCCAGAGCGCGGGCCCCGAGGCTGGGCGGGCGGGTGGCCCCCGCGCCGCCGCCTCCTCCTCGGCTGCCGCCGCCATGGCCGCCCCTGTCGCCGCATTACCGCCCCACGCGTGACCTCCTCGACCCTGTGCTCTCCCCTGCCTTCTGTCCTCCCGCCTCCCAGTCCTGACTCTCCTTTCCTCCTTCTTCCCATCTTCTTTTCCTTTTGCCTCCTTCCTCGCCCCTGCGCTCCCCTCATCTCCCTTTACGGTCCTTCTCGCCCCTTCCTCTTCGCTTCCGCCTCGCTCTCCTTCCTTCCCCGGCCCTGGCCTCGCTCCCGCCTCGGCCCCCAGCCCCGCTGCCTCCTTCGCCTTCTGCGGTCCCGGCTTCCCTTCCGCCCCGCTTCCTCTTCCGCCTTGCCCTGCGCCCGCTTTTCCCTTCCCCTTCTTTCGCTTCCCCCTCGCGACCCTCCCTTCCTGCTGTTTCTTCACCTCCCCACCCTCGTCCTCTCCGGGCCCACCGTTCCCAGGGGACCCTGAGCAGCCCTGGCTGCCCATGAGCGACCGCGGGGCCGGCCCGACGCGGAGCCAAGCCCGAGCGGCCGCCGCTGCACCCTCGGGAGGAGGCGACACCATGTCGGGCCGGGTCACATGGGACGGCGCGGGCCGAGGCCCGGTCCCGCCCCTCACACCCGCTGCCAAGGACCTGCCTCGGGGTGCGGGCCTAGGCCAAGAGGCGGACCACCCCTCCCTGCCCCCCATCTCCTGGGCCGCCCGGGGCGCTTAATGTAAGCACACGCATTCATTCATCAAACTTGTTGGGAAGCCCGTTAATGGCCTGGCGTGAGGCCTTAAGAGGAGACTCCACCTACAAGAAGCATCTAGTTGGAGCCCCTGCCCTCAAGAAGCGCCTAGTTGGGTGACCTTACCCCTCCCTCAGGTGATTCCCCCTTTCCACAGGTGGTATATCAGGACCCCACGAAACTGCAGCCCTAGAAGTTTGCAGGTTCCATCGCCTGGGTTCCCAAACGGTATGAACCGTGGTCCTGCCAATGAGCTTGTACTTCAGACATATTCTGCAGTCTTCTAACTCCCAAAACAGACGTGTATCAGGAAATGGCAACGCTAGGGCTTCTTATTAGTCACCACCCAAGTGCAAGTTGATTCCCCAGGGTCACCCAGGATCTCTTACCCATACCACTCACGCTATTCCCAGGGGCACCGATCTGAAGGGAGAGCTAAGAAAAACCTACTGAAGTCTAGACCCACGCTGCCCAACAAGGTTCCCACTAGCTACATGTGGCTATTGAGCATTTGAAAAGTGATGAGATGTGCTGTAAGCATGAAATACATACCAGATTGTGAAGACGTATACAAAAAAAGGAATGTAAGCCATCTAATAATTTTATATTGATTACATATTGAAGTGATCATATTTTTGATATATTGGACTGAATACATTTTTAATGTAGCCACACTAGGAAATTTAAAACTGCACATGTGAGTTGGATTTGTGGCTCACATTATCTTCTATTGGACAGCACTGGGCTAGGCAGTAAGATTGGGAGGGGAGGAGGAAGATGCCTTCTGTACCCCAAAGTCTAAGTGTGTATACTTATACCCCAAATCCAGATAGGAGGGATTTGGAGGTTTTCTTTTGTATTTATCTACATCTTAAGACCCATATTTTGGGGGCAGGAACGAATGAGAAATCAATTTTGAAAATTACTCAACATCCAGCATACTGAGGAGAGACCTGGAGAAGGCTTTACATTTTATTATGGTGCTCCAGAAGCATCATGTAACAAGGTCAGACCAGAATCTGGCTTTGCCCTAGAAATAACTTTTTGATCTTAGCAAAACAACAACAAAAAACCCCACCTATCTTGGCCTTTTAGCGTTCTTAGTCGGTAGTGAAGCTAAAGCCTCTGCCTTAAACTTTCGAGGGATAAATGAGATGATCCCTGTAAAATGCTTTGAACTCCTCTAAGAAAATTCTCACTAATAGTTACAGGTCAAATCCTGTTACAAAAAATACCCTTACCCCTGCCCCCGCCCCAAAAAAAAAAGCCATACAACAAAGGCTTTGTGTAGAAAAAGATTTCCAAGCTCCAGCCAGTGGTTTACTTATTAAAAGCAATATTTGATGCAATGTTTCAGTATAGCCAATGAATTTAGACCATCTCTGACAGATCATTATAAAGAAATATTTATTCACAAGTATTATACGATTAGAAGACTATTAAAATAGAAACCCTGCAAATTGAAGTGATATCATAATCAATTCAATATTTATTGGTCTTGCTACATTTGTGTAGTGTGAGCCACTCTGGAAGGAAGACAGAGATGAATAGAGAATATGGTTCCTGTGTTTTGTGTGCAGATTTGTGTTAGACACGTTTGTGATTTCTTACTGTTTGGCTATTTTTTAACTGTTCCTTTACACATAGTAAAGCTGAATGGTTCATCCACATTGTACCTAGTTTTACCTCGAGAATAGGGAGGCACAGAAACTTATTTAATTAACCCAACATAAATCAAGTCAGGATTAAAATCCACAACCATACAGGTACAACTTTCTCCATTCACAGGGGCACTAATCTGAAGGCAGAGCTGAGAACAACCTGTGGAAGTCTAAACCTGTGCTATCAACATGTGGCTATTGAGCATTTGAAATATGGCTAGTCAAAATCGATATGTGTATAAGCATGAAATAACACACCAAATTTTGAAGACTTACACACATAAAAAAAAAAGAATGTAAAATATCTCATTAGTAATTTTATATTGATTACACGTTGAAGTGATAATATTTTGAATAAATAAAGTATATTTTTAATGTAGCTACTAGAAAAAGTTGCCCCATGTTGTCTTCATTGATGGAGAAATTAAATCATCATTTAAAAACATCAAATCACACCTCTTTCACAAACTAGAGATCAGGTGAACTGCTTAGGCTAGAATTTATGGTTTAATGATTTCCAAAAAAGCCAAAATAATCACTAAACAGAGAGAAAGGCAAAGTCAAAATGAAAAATTGGCATATATTCTGTTTTTTGGTGGTGACATGTGCCCCTAAATTCCTGAGCATTAAAAAAGCAGCTAGAATTTTTCATCCATCTCCACACGCACAAATCCAATTTTGGATTTATACCAAACCTGGAAAAACAGCAGTTTAAAAAAAAAAAAAAAAAACTTTTAAAATTCTTTTTTGGGACAGGGTGTTAAAAAAATCAATGGTGGCTGAAAAGATGGATTTGTAATGAAAGTAAATGCATGTCTTCATGGGGGACCTAAATAATATTTTGCGATCAAAGAAAATAAATATATTAATAGAAAAAAAGAAAGAGTATGGTGGCTTAGGAACATCTTTAAGAATAGTTATCAATTCCCTTGAAGTGCATAGAACCAGATACCAAATCCAGAAATCATAGTAAAATAATGTAAAGGATGAAGTTTACCTTTTTTTTTAATAAAGCTTTTTATTTTAAAAAAATTTTATTCGCAGGTTAATAAGTAAAGTGAAAACATCGGGCTGCTTTAAACAAAATGCTAAAAATATGGAATTCATAATATTTTAAAATTTAAGAATCAATATGAACTTCATACAGGGTATTTAGAAACACTAATATTAGTTTAGTTTTAAAGAGGATTGATCCTCTTTTTTTTAAAGAGGATTTTGAAGTACAGATACAAAGTTCTTTTGTGTTAGTATGTCCATGACATGTATAATGGCGATTATTGCAGTTATGTTGCCATGGAGTGGATTCCAACTCACGAAGACCTCATGTGTACAGAGTAGAACTGCTCCATAGGATTTCAAGGCTGTGACCTTTCTGAAGCAGGTTGCCAGGCCTATCTTCCAAGGTGCCTCTGGGTGGATTCAAACCACCAACCTTTCTGCTTGTAGTTGAGCACTTAACCGTTTATGCCAACCAGGGACTGTTGCTGCTATACCAAAACCAAACAGAACCCGTTGCCGTCCAGTGGATTCCAACTCATAACTACCCTATAGGACAGAGTAGATCTACCCGTAGAGTTTCTAAGGAGTGCCTGTGGATTTGAACTGCTTACCTTTTGGTTAGCAGCTGTAGCACTTAACCACTACACTACCAGGGTTTCCATTGCTGCTATGGGTAGTACATAATGTATGTTTTAGGATTCTAAAACTGCTAGGAATGCTGTGTTCTGGCCATCCTTATAAACACAGGTGGCAGAATCTCATACAGGCGTCCGTTCCCACACCCAGTACACCAGAACTGGAAAGCCCATTTGTTAAACCAGCAGGACCCCAGCCTTTATCTTTAGGAGTAGGCAGATTTAATAGGGAAATTATTCTGAGATGAATGAGAAAGAGAATGACAATTTCCAATACATTGGCTCAGATCGTTACCATTATTTCTCTATAAGAATAATACCTTAACATTTATTTAGCGCTTACTGTATATCAGTCACTACCATAAAAGCTTTCCATGTATTGTCTCACTTATTCTGCTCAACAACTCCGTGAGGAAGATACTATATGGTTACATGGTTATTACAGTGGCAGAGCAAGTATCAAATCCAGATAGTCTGGTCTCAAAGTTTGTATTCTGAACCATGTCTTCACTATACACAGCAGAAAATGGAATAAGGCATTGAATCTAGGGCCTTCTAAGATCCCTTACAACTAATAAAGACACATCTAATATACTTTACCTCTGACTACCAAGCACTTTTGATATAAATAAAAGCTGCTCCTAAACGACTAAAGTAGTTCCTGTTCTTGTCTCAATTACTTTTAAGAGTTAATCGTTGTAGACCTTCAACCTCTTAATACTTTTCATAATCTTTTTGCTAAACTTTAAAGGAATTCGTAGGAACTTATGTAACTTACATAGGAACATTTAACTAAAGTTCAGTAATTCTTTCATTTTGGTTCAGCTTCATTTTCTTCTGTTACTTTAAGTAACAATGTATGTATGGTATGTATAATATGAGCCTTTTTCTGTAAATGTAGCTCTCTGTATATGTGCAAAGGGAGGTTTTGTGGATATAATAATGGTTATATCTAGGTGACACAATTTTTGGATTTTGTACTTTTCTGAATTACTTGATTTCTTTGTTAATGAAAA